TGGTGAGACAAGAAAAACCACACATAGTGGTATTCATTCATAGGAAAATCTAGGCTATGTCATTGCAAATGTCTTTCTCAGGATTATACAGGACAGAATTGCATGTGGAGATGCCAGTTGCCAGCTTAATGAAACACGTATGTGCCAATGTTCTTTAATGTGGAAAGAATTTGCTCAAAGTTTATTTTTTTCTTGGTTTATATCCTCTTGTATTATAAAATGAAACACATTTCATTAAATGACTTTTTAACTGTAACTCCTTCCAACTTCTGTGTCTAATATAAGCCTGGATCATTATATAAGTTATACACCTGGAAATACCTGGAAGCAGCAGAAGAAACAAAAGATTAAGTACTTGCTAGTCTGTAATGCTCTTTAGTCCAGGTAACTCAACTGAGTCAAGGTAACTTTGTTGTCTGGACCCAGATTCAGGACACATTCTCTGCATATAATGGTCTTCACATAATGTCTCTTGATAGGAAGAACTAGCTCTTTTAGAAGAACTTAAATTTAAAGAGGTCTTAAAGGAGGTGGATGTGGATGTAGACAGGTAGATACGGGAAGGAGGTAACTTAGGGTATTCAGAGAAAGGTAGTTTCAGGAAAGGACTGGATGATCAATGAAGTAGAGAAAGGGGACAGAGAAAGAGAGAAGAGGGATGGTAAAAAGGAGGAACTTCAGAATAAAATTGACCAAATTATATGCCATGCACATATATGAATATGTCACAGTTAATTCTTCTTTTATATATATCTTTAAAGAACCAATTAACAAAATAATGAAGGAAGACCAGTAGAGTAGAGGAAGAGGAACAGGGAGCAGGAGAAGGAGAGAGAGAAAGAGAATATAATGGGGACTAAAATGGAGCAAATTGTATTATATGCATGTATGATTATGTCAAAATGAATCTCAATATTATATATAACTATAATGCACTAATAAAAAATTTAAAAAATAAATGATTGGTTGGAAAGGTTCCCAACATATTCACAAAATAGTTAATAATGGATCTGTACATAGGTGTGTGCATGTAGTAGTAAGAAAAAAGCTAGAAAGATGAATTGAGAATATGAAATAGAGAATATGAAATAAAATTTGAAAATGTAAATAGCAGGATGTGGAATTTTGCATTAATTTTTATTTTAGGCAATTGTGGTATTTTAATTTTTTAAAGAAGGAGCTAGCTATGATCTGATTTGAAGAAATACAGCAATAGGTAGTGATAAGCAAATTGGAAAGATATGAGGGCAAGGGCAGAGTTTTCTAGTTGAGCCTTTTTCAAAGTCTGGGTAAGTCATATGCATGCTCAGTTGAGGCCAGTGTAGGTTGCCATGCTCTCCCAGTCTTCAGTGAGATCTGCTGGGGCCTCAGCAAAACTTGGGTCAGGATACATTAACATAAAAGGGGTCTCATTTTTTTAGTAAAATATAACTTGAAGAATTAGAATGACAGAAATAACACCCAACATGGCATTATGAAGACTTAAGATGTATTGTTTGCTGTGTTCCAGTCACTGTGCTAAGTGTTTTACTTAGGGTTACTTTGTACAAACTCTTAAGTCAACTTTATGAAGTAGTAGTGTTAACTTTGTTTTAAAGATAAAGAAAACAAGATTTGAAGTGGTCAAGTAACAGTGGTTATTTAATAATTACATTTATTAATTGCAAGTTCATTCAACAGGAAAGTGGAAGAGAAGGGATCTAAAGCCAGGCAGATTGAGAGAAGATCCCATCTTCTACCATTGAAATGTGCAGTTTTCAATAGCAAAAGCCCTGACATCATGGTTATGTCATGTCAGTCTTCTCAACATAACTGGCTTGAGACTTTTTGGAAGAATTATTAGACTGTATGGAGCCTCAGTGTCTCCATCTATGATATGGTAATAGTTGTTAATTTGTAGGGGTAGTTTGCATATTAACACTGATGATATGTGTAGAATGCCTAGCAGGATAAATATTCAAAAAGTAAGATGAGAAATGACTTTGAGATTCCAGGTGGTAAAAAATACCCAAATCTTGCAACTTGATCACAGTTAATTAGTGAGTTCATGGCAATGCTGCAACAAGTCACTGGGTAATAGTCAAAGAAGGCAATGCTGTGTCCAGGCCTGAGGGAGGAGTGTATGCAGGAAAACCTAGCTGCTTTTATATCAGCTCACCTGCCCAGTGTACAAGGAGAGATGCAGGCACAGAACTCAGTGATAACAGTTTAATGGTATAGACTAATGACCCCATTCAATGGGC